AGGGCGCCGAGCGAAACCTCACGAAGGTAAACCCTAAACCCTAAACCCTAAACCCTAAACCCTAGTGGTGTGTGCCTGCCTCAGTGTGGCTCGATGCAGTCGATGCGGTGTGGTGGTTTAGGGTTTAGTCTTTAGGGTTTAGGGTTTAGGGTTTAGGGTTTAGGGTTTGTGGCTTTCTATGCAGACCCTCTCAGCAGCGAATATAAATAGCAGCAACAACAGCAGCAGCAGCAGCAGCATTTATGATGAGCGGCTATATCGCGGCAGCAGCAGCAGCAGCAGCAGCAGAACAGCAGGTGCAGCAGCAGCAGCAGCAGCAACAGCGAAGCGCATGCAGGGTAGCAGCCGTGCAGCAGCAATTGCAGCAGCAGATGCAGAGGAGTTGATGTACGCTCGTTTGGTGCTGCTGCGTCAGCAGCAGCAGCAGCAGCAGCGGCTGCAGCAGCAGCAGCAACAGCAGCAGCTGCGGCAGGAGCGCAAAAGAAAAAAGAAATCGTTTGTATTAGATGAGAATACATCTGATGAAGACACAGAAAAGCCCTTTTATAATAGTTTAGGTGGTGGAGCTGCGGATACACCTGAAGCTGCAGCAGCAGCAGCAGCAGCAGCAGCAGCAGCAGGGATGGATTTGCTGCTGCATAAAGGCAAACCTATTGCTGCAATGGGAGACGATGAATTGAGAGCATCTGCTGCTGCTCTCGTGCAGCAGAAGGCTTTAGCAGAAGAAGAGGCAGGAGAGCAGCAAAGTAAACCCTAAACCCTAAACCCTAAACCCTAAATCCTCAGTGCAGCACATGTGTATGCTGTTGCTTCCCCTTCTACAAACCCTTCCGCAGACAAAGTGCTGAAAGATGAGAGTTTAGGAGCAAGTGTTTGCGGCCTACAGTTTAGGGTTTAGGGTTAGGTGTCTAGGGTTTAGGGTTTAGGGTTTAGGGTTTAGGGTTTAGGGTTTGTGTGCAGTGCTGGAGGGAGACTTGCTATTTTCTGGGGGTGGTTCGGAGGCCCCGAAAAGCCGAAGAGAAGTAATGAAAGAAATAATAAGCAAGAGCAAAGAAGCCAAGGCGCAGGTAAACCCTAAACCCTAAACCCTCGCTTAAGCGCTGAGGCCTGACGAGCAAGGCGCAGGACAGCGCCAAACCCTAAACCCTAAACCCTTTGCTTAGAGTCTTGCTGTGCTTTATTGCTGACGAGTAGAGCCTCTGCGCATGCTTGGACTGCTTAGCGATTGGGGTTTAGGGTTTAGGGTTTAGGGTTTAGGGTTTAGGGTTTGGCTTGTTCGATGCAGCATGCACGCGAAGCAGAGGAGCAGCAGCAGCTGCTGCAGCAACTCGAGCTGCAGTTTGCTGCCGTTAGAGAAGACCTTCCATTTGTTAAACCTAAACAAAAGGAACCGTGAGGGTTTAGGGTTTAGGGTTTAGGGTTTAGGGTTTAGGGTTCACTGGGAACGATGCAGCAGCACGCGAGGGTCCGCAAGCCCTCAGGGTTTAGTGTTCAAAATTGAGGGTTTAGGGTTTAGGAGAAAGGGTTTATGTTTTAGCATTAAGGGCCTAGGGTTTAGGGTTTAGGGTTTAGGGTTTAGGGTTTGATTGCGGTTTAGGAGCCTTGAGGATCTGCTGGCGAAATACACAAAGGACGGGGGAAAGCAGCAGGAGGAGACGGAGCAGCAGCAGCAGCAGCAGCAGCAGCAGCAGCAGCAGCAGCAAGAAGAGAAGAAGCCATCACTCTTTGGCTTCCTTCAAAACAGCAGCAGCAGCAGCAGCAGCAGCAGCAGCAGCGGCCCCTTGTTGCTTTTGGATCCTGAGGACAGCAGCAGTGCTTCAGCAGCGCCAGGTGCAGCAGCAGCAGCAGCTTCTGCTGCTGCAGCTCCAGCAACAGCAGCAGCAGCAGCAGCAGCAGCAGCAGCAGATTACGATAAAGCAGCAAGGATGCTGCGGTTCGTGCCGCGAGTAGCAGCAGGAGAGAAGCTGCTAACAGACGAAGAGCTGCATGCAAAAGCAAAGAAGAAGCTGCTGCAGCAGCAGAAGAAGCAGCAGCAGCTGCTGCAGCAAGAGCAGCAACAAGGTACGACTATCACCAATATCCATAAACGCTAAATAACTCGCAGGTTTAGGGTTTAGGGTTTAGGGTTTAGGGTTTAGGGTTTATAAAGCAACTCGCTGCACGGTTTAGGGTTTTCGCATTAACTCTAAACCCTAATACGCAGTATATACAGCTGAATGTGAAAGCGGTGGCGCATCTAGGGTTTATGCCTGGGGTTTAGGGTTTAGGGTTTAGGGTTTAGGGTTTAGGGTTTGGGGTCAATTGCGCAGAGGAGGAGGAGCTGAGGAAAGAAGAAGAAGGGTTTTGGGATCAAGCTGCAGAGACAGCTGCTCCTAGCAGCAGCAGCAGCAGCAGCAGCAGCAGCGACAGCAGCAGCAGCGACAGCGAGAGCAGCAACGAAGAAGAAGAAGAAGAAGATGATGATGATGATGATGAAGACGAAGAAGAAGAAGAGCTGCAAGAGCTGCTGCAGCAGGAAGGAGACGAGGAGACAGATGAAGAAGTAGCAGCAGCAGCAGAAACAGAAGCAGCAGCAGCAGTAGCAGAAGCAGCAACAGAAGCAGCAGAAGCAGCAACAGAAGCAAAAGCCGATGCAGCAGCAGCAGAAGCAGCAGCTGCAGCAACAACAACAGCAGCAGCAGCAGCAGCAGATGCTGCTTCAGAGGCAGACAGTCGCCGCGCCGACGGCTCTGCCCGCTCAGCAGCAGCAGCAGCAGCAGCAGCAGCAGCTGCTGCTGCTGCTGCTGCTGAGATAGACAGCGACGAGGAGGAGCTGGTGCTGCAGCAGCAGCGGCAGCTGCTGACAAATGAAGCTTATGAACTGCTGCTGCCCTTCAAGCCCGCGCTTCCTAAACAAGTTGAAGAAGTGCAGCAAATATTTGCAGACTGGAAACCCTCGTCGCAAGCTAAACTGCTGCACCGGTAAACCCTAAACCCTAAACCCTAAACCCTAAACCCTGATGCCTCCTGACTCCATAGGTGTCTGCGTAAACCCTAAACCATACTGCTCGGGCTTAATTGCTGTAGGCGTAAACCCTAAACCCTTAAACCCTAAACCCTAGCCCGAAGCCGACGCGCTGAACCCTAAACCCTAAACCCTCATGATTGTGCATGCAGCTATTTAATTATCTACTCTCCTGACGACCCGAAGTATACACCTAAAATGACGCTGCTGTTGAAGGGTTTGCTGCTGCACCTCGTGCTGCAGTGCCGCAGCAACATCTGCGACGGAACAGGTAAACCCTAAACCCTAAACCCTTATTCCAAGGCTGGGGCCTAAGGCGTAGGTAACAAACCCTTAATTCAAGCGCTACTATATACAGAAACCCTAGAACCAAAACCCTAGCCAGAAACCCTAAACCCTAAACCCTAAACCCTTGCCTTTGTTGCGCAGGAGCTTCTTTCTTTGAGTTGTGGCAGCACCTGCAGCCTCCGCTGCTGCAGCTGCTGCAGCACTCAGCAGCAGCAGCAGCAGCAACACGCTTCTTTAAGCCTTTGCTGCTGCATATGGCTTGCCGAGTTGCTGCTGGAGATGAGGAGCTGCAGCAGCAGCTGCGCCTAGAGATTGCCGGTGCTGCTGATGCTGCTGGATCTGCTGCAGCAAAAGCAGCAGAGGAGGCAGCAGGGACCGAAGAGCTGCAGCAGCTGCTGCTGCAGCAGCTGCCGCAGCAGCTGCAGCAGCTGCTGCAACAGCAAGCAGCAGCAAACCAGAGAGACCTTCGATGCCTTCTCACCTCCACTGATATTGCTGTGCTGCAGCTGCTGTTTTGCTGCTTCCCGCTGCAGCAGCAGCGGCAGCAACACCTCTTGCAGCTGGGGTTTCATCTGCTAGAAGCAGCAGCAGCAGCAGCAGCAGCAGCACAACACGCAGATGTGCTGCCAATCTGCCCTCCCCGCATTCGTTTGCAGCTGCGACGCATGCAGCAGCAGCAGCAGCAGCAGCAGCAGCAGCAAGAGCAGCAGCAACAGCGGGAACCGCTCAAGAAGGGTCAGCAGGAGTTGCAGCTAGAGCAGCAGCAACTGCAGCAGCAGCTGCAGCAGCATCTGTCGCTTGCACCGCTGCCGCTGAGCCCTTCTGGCGTAGCAGCAGCAGCTGCAGCAGCAGCAACAGCAAACGATGTGCTGCAGCAGCAGGAATCGAAGCCAATAAGCGGAGCTAGAGAGACATTTGCTGCTGTGCCTCCTCCGCTGTCTGCTGCTGCAGCACCGCTTGCTGCTCAGCTGCTGCTGCTGCAGCGACGTGCTGCTGCTGCTGCAGCACCGGAAGACGGCTGCTTCTTCCCCTCTTCCTTCTCACTGGCAGCAGCACTGCTGCACACAGCAGCACAGCAGCTGCTGCTAATAGGCAAGCAACAGCAGCAACAGCAGCAACAGCAGCAACAGCAGCCACAGCAGCAACAGCAACAGCAGCAGCAGGAAGAGCAGCGCTACGCAACAGAAGTGCTGCAGCCAGACCTCGAGGAGTCTGTACTCCGCGTCCTGCAGCAACAGCAGCAGCAGCAGCAGCAGCAGCAGCAGAAGCAGCAGCAGCTGCTGCAGTGGGAGGGTTGGGCTGACTTTGGATTTTCTGTGGCGACCACCGCCCTGGCCATGCTCCAAACCCTCGTAAACCCTAAACCCTAACACTAGGCCCTAATCCTAATCCCTAAACCCTAATCCTAAACCCTAATCCTAAGCCCCAAACCCTAATCCCAAACTCTAAGCCCTAAACCCTAACCCTAAATTCTAAACCCTAGTTCTAAAAACCCTAATTGTAAACCCTAAACCCTAGTTGTAAACCCTAAACCCAAATTCTAAACCCTAAACCCTAATACCAAACCCTAAACCCTAATTCTAAACCCTAAGCCTGAGTACTACACCCAAGTTAAACCCTCAGCCTATTCTGCCGCGCGCATACCGGGGAGTAAGAGAGCTTTAGGGTTTAGGGTTTAGTTGTGATGTTGCTGCTTCTGCTGCAGCGG